TTGAGGGTGGCCAATATGCTGAAGTGGCCCTCGGTGAAATTGAGTTTGACACCCCTGATCTAGATAAAGGACGTACACTTTTTGAGAAATTGTGACAGCCGATTGGTCAGTTGCTGACAAATGCCCTGGGATGATTAGGGGAGGATTGCTCTACATGCGCATGGGGGCAGAGACGGCATCATGTCACGGAAGTGATAATACGTATAGACAAAGTTCAAATACTCTTGCGTGATGTTTTTTTTTAAAACTCAGTATATAATAATTTGTTCCTATTTTGTGTCTTTTGATGAAAATGCCGCAACAACTACGTATAAGTAATGTTAAATCAGATGAAAAAATAACCAAATCTAATATTTTATGGGGGTGCTATGACGTTTCCAGGGGAGCTCACTCCCTAGTTCTAGAGGAGAACTGAAAAAAGTACAAAACCTGAACTCCCTGGCTAAACACAAAACAGGAGAAAACAGGCAAAGAACCCCTACCAACTAGTGATGGACTATCTGAAGCCAGGCTTCCAGGCTTGTACCGAGTGAAAAGGGGGCGTGTCAGGCGTGCTTTGACACTTGTGTCGTCTTGTTGAAAACCACGTGACTGGCAACAAACGAGGCCTCACATTGCATGGGTCATATGACTGCTTCATTTTGCATGTCAGTTTTCAAAGTAAAAGCGTGATGAGCCATGCTGCTTCATGGCATGGGTTATTGTATTTGATCGCATATCAGAGTATTTGTCTTCAGCAGTGGCTGACATAAAAGGAACCTTGACCAACATAGTTCATGTGTATTAATGATTTTGATGACAGCACTCATCAAAATGTAATGTTTGTTAATGGTTTTCTCAATTGTTGATTATGGTGTATCTTATGACTTTATATTTGTGAGTTTTTATTATGTAAAGCACTTTGAAACTGCATTGTTGCTGAAATGTACTACACAAATAAACTTGATTGAAATAGAGCCAGCAAGAAGAAAAAAATCTGACATCTGGGAATACTTCTCTTAAATAAAAATAATTAACCCCTTCAACTCCAAAATTCTCACCTTCATGAAATTTCCACTATTTCTTTGTTCTGCAAAGATATATCAGTCTTGCACAGCAGAAACACACTTAAAGTTGTTGGAAGAGTCAAATTTTGATGAGTTAAAATATAAGGGACTGGATCAGAGAGCCAATAGAAATCCAAGAACAAGAGAATTTTTGAAGAATTTTAGTTTTTCAGGAGGCAAATCAAAACTCAAAGAATACTGTCTGCCCCAACAAGCTCTGCACTCTGAATACATTAAAACAAATGTCTATTGATAAATCAGTCAATGACAAAAGAAAACAGCCACTGACAGTCACCATATACCAGAATTGGCTACAAATGATTTTAATAACTAAAAAAGATTAGTTAAATAGGATTTAATTGACTCTCCTGTTACTAAACATGAGTTTGACAAAAACTTTGTGACAATATTGCATTTACTATTTTTTTAAGTATGTCTATTAGAGTAAAAAGGCTGCCACAGTTTCAACAGCAGATGTCACTAGTGAGAAATGAATTAACCGCCGAGTAATGAACCTTTGCGCAAAGCAATGGGCTGGGAAGCTTCATTGCTTCACCAGGCTTCATTTGGCATCACTACTACCAGCTTCCACTGTGAATAGAAACACACTACTTTAATTAAACACTTGATATATATTCACAATATGCTCACAGCAAGATCATTCAAGTCCCCACAAACAGTCAGCAGACAGACAAGATCACTTCAGATCAAGGCCCAGGGAAAAAGGGATCTGATCTCTGGCATGAAGCTCTTTATGGGGTGGCTGACGAGCTCCAACACATTTCACCTGTGGCAGCCAGGTAGAACTGAAACACAAAGAGAGAGCTCTCTCATGAAGAGAGCCCCTAGAGGTCGGTGACCGTAACATCCACTTCTATATAATTCCATCTGAATATATAGATGGAATTACATCTGTATACAGATATAACAGTGAAAGAACACACTGTGTTTGGGTCAGACCAAACTTGAACTTTTTTAGCAAGATACTGTATGTTGCTGAAATCTATACACACCATCTCCATGCAGAACTACGGTGGAGTCAGCATCATGCTGTGGGGATTCTCTGTCTTTAGCACGAACAGGGGACCTGATCAGAATTATTACAGAACAATCGTCTAAGAGAAACAGTTACAAGCTGCAACAGTTTTAAGACGGTTGGTGGATGTTCAGTTTCTAGCAGAACAAGAAAATGTAACAGTGTAATGGTTTTGGTCAAATGATATTCATGTTCTAGAATGGCCATTGGTTCATTGCACAGATCTAAGTGGCAACACTTGAAAAGTGTTGATTGCAGATGAAATCCATCCAATCTGATGAAGATAGAACAATGAGCAAGAAATGTTAGGTCATTGGATATGAAAAGCTTGTAGAGAGACACACACCAAAAGGTGATTTTACGGGAGTTTACTGAAGTCGCTCAGTAAAATCTGTGACTTCTGCAAGGCTCTGTAGAAAACATAGCTGTGGTAAAGAACTCTTTAAAAAATCTTTAGGGTAACACTGACATTGATGAAAGACTATATATTTTCAAACTTGAACCAATGCATTAATTCACGCAAACACGCACATAACACACATACACACACGTATTGACGCTGCAGTTACATCACTATGTGGTGACTCAACCACTGGACTCACTGCTGTGTGTGTGTCTGTATGTCTTGAAGTGTGTGTGTGTGTTGAGTGTCCACCCACACATGATGAGTCACCCAATGCGCAGCAGGGAGTGCAGCAACACCTCCCTATATATAGCCACTTCAGAATATATGCGCGCATATGTGTGTGTATGTGTGGATGACTGCAGTGTTCACCGAATCCTTGAAATCTCACACGCGCACACGCAAATGTGCACACAGGGGAGTGAAGGGGTTGGTGATGGGTTAAATGGGCTGTAGTGGCAGCAACTTTTCTCAATCAGTTTCAGCGTGTTATACAGCATAGCTTTATGAATGAAGCCAGCTTTGAATTATACTCTTATCTCTTGGTGTGTGTGCGTGTGTGTATTTGTGTGTGGTGTTAAGCAACGTGTCTCTTTTTAAGCTCCTATACAACTATGCACACACTCCTCCTCCTCTGCAATGAATGGGCTGATTTGTGAATCATCCTGCAGTGAATCAGAACATCTCTCCCTCTCTTTCCCAGCAGTCCTTGCAGCATCTGAGCGTGTTTTCATCCTCGCTGCCCCACAGACCTCTGGGAAGAGCCAAGTCATCCCCTGCAACCGCTGTCAACCCCATCAAACACCTCTTCACCACCGGTCAGATTCCTACTTATTTAATAAAGTATTTTTAGGAACGCACATCTGGTTTCTGACTAGATAAGTGTGGGTTGGTGTCAGTCCAGATTCTGTAAGCCTTTGGACTTGTTGCCTAGTAACAAGCCCATAGTGCAGGGGTACCCAAAGTGGGTCCTGGAGGGCCAGCATCCTGCACGTTTTAGTTCCCTCCCTGCTGATAGTAACAACCTTTCCAGCTTGTCAATGTTCCTCTTAGGCCTTCTAACAGCCATCATTTGATCCAGGTGCGCTAAACCAGGGAGAGAACTAAAACATGGAGGATGCCGGCCCTCCAGGACCCACTTTGGGCACCCCTGACCTAAAGCATTCAACAATGAGCTTTATCAAAAAGAAAGTTTTAATCACAGTCTTTAAAGTAGACAGGGTATCTGCCTCACGGAGTAAAACTGGGAGCTGGTTCCATGGGAGAGGAGCCTGATAGCAAAAGGATCTGCTATTCTACTTTTAAAACCTGTGTGAACCAGTAGTAAATCTGCAGAGAGAGAAGTGCTCTGTTAGGAACATGTGGAACAATCAAATCTCTGATGTATGATGGAGCTTGGTTATTAAGGGCTTTATATGTGAGAAGGTGAATCTTTAGGTATTTATTAATTCATTTATTCTCATTTGTTGCAATTATGCCATACTTTGTGTTGGTCTCTCACCTAAAATCTCAGTAAATGCAATGAAACTTTTCTTTTTGTACAAGCTGTGAAAAATGTTAAAATGGTGTGAATACTTATGCAGGGCACCTTAACAATGCTTGAGTTTACCATGCATGATATTGACAGTAGCCCCTTCTCTTTGCCTCTCTGCAGGGTTGGTGTATGACAGCCTGATGCTGAAACATCAATGTGTGTGTGGCAATGCTCACATTCACCCAGAGCATGCTGGGAGAGTCCAAAGCATCTGGTCCAGACTGCAGGAAACAGGCTTACTGAGCCGCTGTGAGGTACACACAGTCACACGCCAACAAGTTTGGAAGCGTAACCTTAGTACTCACAAAGGTTTCTGATTGGTGCATATAGAAGATTGTTCACTGGATTGCTTTTACCTACATAAGTAAGGATGTTACCAAGCTTCTCTGTCTATCTGTCCACCTGTGTGTGAGCAGAGGATTCGTGGGAGAAAAGCATCTCTAGATGAAATCCAGTCGGTCCATTCAGAGTTCCACACTCTGCTGTATGGAACCAGCCCACTCAATCGGCACAAACTGGACCACAAGAAGCTTCTGGGTATTGGTCTACCTCAGTCTATGTTCACAGTTTCATACTTATCCTACGCAGTAGTTTGGTGTCTTATCTGCTTTTAATTGTAATATTCTTCATCTCTAAGGACTTTTGTGCCTCCATATTTGTGTCTGATGATTACTGCTGCAACTAACAGTTAGTTAGTTATTAGTAAATTAACATAATTGATTGATCATTCTGACCATTAATCAATTAATTGGATAAAAAAATTAGCACATTCTGCTTATTTTTTATTGAACCATTTAACCTTTTTTAATAAAATATTAGAAATACATTAAAATATGCAAAAAACAACAAATAATTCAATTCCTTTTTAAAATAATAAAATAAACATTTTGCTACCTAAAATGCAACAGCAGCTTATTCAGTCCCAGATATCACAGAATGATTGAAACAACATTGAATCAATGTCAGCCAGAAACATTGAATCAACGTTGAACGCTGACATTGAAACAACATTGAAAGTGGTCGGTGACTTGTATGTTGAATCA